CCTCCTCAACACGGGATACATCCTTCTTGGGGCCATTTAAAGCCCCACCCTCGGACTCCTCCGCATCGGCAGGTGACGATGTGCAAGCGGGTGTAGCAGAACCCGGAGAGTCACCTCCACCTCCCTGAAAACATTCACCCTTTGTACCTCCAGTAGATGCATGACTACCAACCGGGCGGAGGGTTCACCGTCAACACCAACTCCAATTCCGCACAAAGTTCCATGACCACAAGAAACATCATAATCCCCAGCATCGGCCGACACCGCTGGCACCGCAGCACAGCACGCAGAGGGCACACACCAGCAGCACACGGCCAGGCACCATCATCGCCATCACTCCCGTCACTTGCGTGCAGCCTCCAGCACAAACCAACTCCCCGTCAACGCAGCGAAAACAAAGAGAGAAATACGACCGCTACACCACGCACAGCAACCGCACAAAAACAAACGGCAGCAGCCCAGCAGCAGCAGCAACAAACACAACATGAGACAGATGGAATCAGTACAATTGCAGAACTTGCACACCGCCCCACAACACAGAAGCTATAAAAGCAGGAACAACGAAAAAAAGAATTAAAGAACAAGAAAAAACAAACCCAAGGCTCCAGTGCGCATGCATATGAGTGTGTCTGGGATGCGTTCAACGTGGCGGATGTAGTGCACAACGCGGAGCACACAGCATGGCAGCAGAAGCAAGCAAAGCAAAACACAATCATCATAATTACTCTTACTTTATACATCGGACCACGGTAGACGTGCACATGTCCCCGTGGCTGAGTGCTGGCACGCACAGCCCGCACACACCTCTTCAGCCCAGAGTGGTGTACGCCAGCGCGGATGCGGCGAGAAGCAGCGGGGCACACGCCCACGCAGAGCTGCCGAGGCTGCCGTCAATTCTGCGAATACTTGACGGCGCACGGGTGGTCGTCGTGGTTGGCGCCTCTGTAGTCGTAATGCTTGGTGCCTCTGGCGCAGTGGTCGTGGTGGTTGTGGTCGTGGTTGTCGTGGTCGTCGTAGTTGGTGGCTTTGTTGTTGTCGTGGTCGTCGTAGTTGGTGGCTTTGTTGTGGTAGTCGTAGTGGTATTGTCCTGCCTAGCCTCTTCGCTGCACACGGACGGGCAGCAGCACAGGGCGAGCACCAGCAGGGCGTACAGCAGACGGCACGTCACCATCGTGAGTGTGGTCATTCAGTGGTGTGGAGCTTATCTGCACAGTGAGAGACATGGAGAGCAACAGGGGAAACGAGAGGTGCGGCAGACACACACACAGAGGGCAAACCACATGAGGAGAGAGCAGCAGCCAGGCACACACACACAGATGGAAGAGGGAGAAGCAAACAGGAGCGGCACACACGGCGAGAGCGGTCCGTCGTGTCTGCTCCCCTCACGGAGAGTACGCACACACAAACACGAGAATAGATGCAGCGCACACAGCAGCCCAAAAGGCCAAAGTAACAATAAAGGGAAAGATGTCCCCGCACACCACGAGAATTGTTGGTCCACGGGAAGTGCAGCCAATATTCATCACAAAAACAGTTCAGTTGCATTGGGCCTTAGTTCATATTCGGCGCACACCACTTCATGCACGCACAGCCACCACCGCAGCAGCAACCGCACACGTCACAGGAAGATGCAAGAGCAAAAAGGGGAGGTGGTGTGGGAGGCCACGGTACTGCTGTCGCCGTCGCCAGCTGGTGCTGTTCCAATCGATTCGTCGTTAGTAGTTGCGGGCTATACTTGCGTTTCGCCGCCAGCAAGACCTTCATGTTGCGTTCCTTCCTTCGGTACCGCGTCACCAGATGGCTGGTTATTGCTGGAATGGAGCTCCCCAGCGGGTTCCTTTTCCGGGGTCAAAGTCGAAGTACTTCCACTCGTAGAGGGAGATGAAGGTTCGGTTTGTTGGTGACCGACAGGTGACCGACTGTTTGTGGCACCTGCGCTGCACGCGGCTTCCTCCTTTGGTGAGTCCACTTTTTGATCCGTCGCGCCTGATATCCCTCGTCCCTCTGCTGGCGTTGATAACGCCTTCGATGCTGCCTGTTTCCCTGTGCCTTCCGGTTCCCCCGTCACTGGTCGTGCTGCTTGTGGTGCGTGGCTCTCGTTGGGGGCAAGTCAGCAGTGTCGCTGCTCTCCACACCAGTCAC